CATTGAAAACAGCAGGCCACATTTGGAGTACTGCCTGTAGCTCCCAGTCACCCTATTATAGTGCAGAAAAGATTTACTAGGATGTTACCCGGACTGGAAGGTTTGAGTTCTAAGAAAAGGCTGAATAGGCTGGGACTTTTTTCCTGGAGCATAGGAGACTGAGGGGTGACCTTATAGAGGTTTATAAAATCATGAGAGGCATGGATAAGGTAGATAGCCAACAGCTGTTCCCCATGGTAAGGGAGTCTAAAATTAGAGGATATAGGTTTAATGTGAGAGGGGAGAGATACAAAAGAGTCCGTAGGGGCAATTTTTTCACGCAGAGGGTGGTGAGTGTTTGGAACAGGTTGCCAGATGTAGTGGTGGAGGCAAGTACAATTTTGTCATTTCAGAAACGTTTGGACAGGTACATAGATGAGATAGGTTTGGAGGGATATGGACCAAATGCAGGCAAATGGGACGAGAATAATTGTGCAAACTGGGTGGTTTGGACAATTTGGAGTGAAGAGCCTGTTTGTATGCTGTAAATCTCTATGACTCTATTACATTGGACAGAGGTCTTCAGAATGCCTCTAGTCAGAACCTTGTTCATATTTTCTCATTACTATTCATAATCAGTTGTTGGCTCAGCTAACTAACACAGTAATTTTTGCATGAACTTTGAGTTTCAAAAGCCTCACGTGTGGAACTTAATTAAATTTCTTCTGAAAATCGAATCAAATGAAACTCATTCGAATATCCTGATTCATGAATTCAGTTAGCTCTTCCAAAGAAATTCAGCTGATCCATGGAACTTGTCATTTCACATTTTTTAGACTCGATCAATCATCTGTTCTTCAATATATTTCCAACTCTAGAATTTGGGTGAACTGACCTATTCCATTAGGGGTGACACAGTGGTAATGTTAGTAGACTGGTAATCTAGAAATGCAGGTTAATGCTCTGTGGGCATGCTTTAAAACCCTGCAATGGTACCAGTGGAACTTAAATGAACAAAACTTTTTTAAAAATATGGATTTGGAAGCTAGTTTTGGTAATGTTGACCATGACACTACCATCAATTTATCATAAAAACACATCTAGTTCATTACTGCACTTTAATGAAAGAAAATCTGCCAGTCTTACAGGTGTACATGAGACTCCACATGAGACTGACTATGAGCTATCCATGGAAATAGTGTAGGAAGCCACAGTTCAAGGGCATTTATGTTTGGGTAAAAAATGCTGGTCTTGCCAGTGACATCCACGTTCAATTAAACAATAGAAAAATATTATTTCTATTACAGGTGCAGTTTTTTTACAGTCAATTTCAAATCTGTTTGACCTTATTTTCGTAATTTGTGTTTATCTAGAAGCATTTCATGTGAAACTTCAACTAAAGCATTTTGGAAGTCTAAGTTATACCATACTGTCATGTTTATCACAAATGATCTGGGTTATCATTTCTTCAAAGAGAGCGAGGAGATTGGCAGATCATTTCCATTTAAAACCACGTTATTAACATTGCTCACAAATCCTTCTGATAATTGATTTCTTTATTTTACATTGTATTGAAGATTAATGCGTCTTTAGTTGTCCATACCTGCTGGGTGACACTTGCCACATATGAGCATGGCATTGACCTGACCAATTTCCCAAAACTTGCCAGATCCCACTATAACGACAATTAGGGTCTTTCAAATCTCTTTGCTGTTCTCTTTCAAAGTTCTGAGATTAAAAAAAATCATCTGTGCCTTGAGATTTATCTGTTTTAAGTCCTTTCAGCTTATTGAGGCTGTCCTCTATTTCACTCTAACTACTTGTTTTCATTCACTTGTAGGGCATTCGTCTCACTGATTTAACCAGAATTTATTGCCTATCCTTAGTTGCCCTTGACAATGTGCTGGTGATACTGCCTTAGCAATCCGGAGCACCCTGAGGAAACCTACACAGACACAGGGTGAAGGTACAAGCTCCACACAGACAGTCACCCGAGGGTGGAATCGAACCTGGGTCCCTGGTGCTGTGAGGTAGCAGTGCTAACCACTGAGCCACCGTGCTATCCCTGACACTGAGATACTGATACTCTGGTACCTCAATCTATGTGCGGCAGTACTATAGTCAAGGATTGTTCATGTGCAAATAAAGGGTGATTTGGTGACAAGATACCAACCTTTGTGGAGTTATTTCAGGAAAGGAGGTCCATGTTCAACTGACAAGCTCCGCTAACAATTGGGAATTAAGTGGACAATTAATGAACATTTAAGGATTTTTATCCTGCTGCTATGGGTATTAATGTAGTTGCCTTTGGGCATGTCGGTATGTGGGATGCACAGTGTCTAAAATCATGGTGATAGAACCATGTCCAGCTTATGGCATCTTTCAATCAAAGGCAGTCAGTGCAATAAAGGACTTGGCATCTGGGGGTGTAAGAGGGCCGGGCTTCAGCAGTCAATTATACCACTCCCCCACCCCCAACTCCGGTCTTTCTGAAACCACACAGCTCCGTCCCCCCACCACCCCCTCCCCTACCTTACATACCTCTGGCCTGGGTCACTCTACAGGGGTCTCACTGGCCCTCCATGAGGCAAGCAAGACCCCCAGCACCTCAACGCAATTCCATTCATTGTCACCATGACTCACTTGGAAATCCAGATCCTTTTCCAACTGGGATTCAATTTGGAATTGGGAACCTTGGACCATTTGGAATAAATTGGACAATTGGGAGAAAAGGATCAAAAGCCAGTTTCTACATGGGCTATTGCTAGAGACTAATGTTAGAACACACGCAATCAAACAATTTCATACTGCAGCACCTCGGTGATAGTAAATCTCCTTCACTGAGTTCCAATATAGCAGATGAAAACCACCTCATGCCATTATAAAGTGGAAATAAATTTAAACATAAAATGAAGCAACGTAATCCTGGAACATTTCCTTGTTGAGCAGATGTTGGTGCTGAGACATTCTGTCGAAGCTGCCAAACTTCATCAAACCCACAGTAAAGACATAGTAAGTGTTAGGGAAAATTTAGTTGATATTTATGCTTAGCTGCACTGCAAACAAATTTAACATTCAATGCAAGCTGAAATTAAATTACTCAGCTCTGCTGCTTTATGTAAAATGTACAATGTTCCAATTCTACCCCTATTTTTAAACCAATTTCCTCAGTTGCTCACATTGGATGCTCAAAATCAATTCCAAGATGTACGTGTGTTGTGTTCCTGATACAATCACAGGCACAAAGGTTAGGGGAATTTTAATTCCTTCTGTCCAATGAAAAGTAAATAAAAATGGTAGTTACTCACCTCCTATGTTGGCTGATGTATTACTGCTGCTGCCCTTTGTACAGCTGAGACACCCAGCTAGCTCACGTGGGGGCATCAGATGTGTGCCAATCAGTCATATGTATCAATGGGGACCTATCACTTTGACTAGATGCCAATGCAATTACCATAGTCTCAGTGAGCAGCACATGTGGAAGCCAACTTGCTGAGTGAAGCAGGTGGGCACAAGATGAAGGCCCTGAGAGGTCATTCTTCCTCTTTGCAGGATCAGGAGGATTTTTGACAAACCACAGGCCATGGTATTGCCACATAAATGCTGAGTTTTGGTGATTTAAACTCAAATATTTAACACTTCGTGCTGGCCACTGAGGTTTGCCAATTTAAATGATTAGTAGAATAAAGATTTCAGCCAGTTTTTATACGTCTTTACCGATCATAAACTGACTGGACAGTGACTGTGAACTGCCCTAAATTGACCACAAGATAACTGGATAGAGATCATAAACTAACCACAACAATAGCTGGACAATGATTGCAAACTGACTCAAAACTGGGAATGCAATGGCCTAGCGGCATTATTACTGGACCGTTAACCCAGGGACCCAGATTATGTTTGGGCAATCAGGGTTCGAGTACCGCCACAGCAGATGGTGGAATTTGAATTCAATAAATACCTGGAATTAAGATTCTACTGATGACCATGAATGCATTGCCAATTGTTGGGAAATAACTCATCTGGTTCACTGATGTCCTTTAGGGAAGAAAACTGACATCCTTACCTGGTCTGGCCTATATGTGACTCCAGACCTACAGCAATGTAGTGAACTTGTAACTACCCTTAGGCAATTAGGGATGGGCAATAAATGCTGCCTGGCCAGCATTGGCCTCATCCCATGAATGAATAAAGAAAAAATAAAATGAAGATAACTAGATAGTGACTGTAAACTGACTCGAAAGTGACCACAAGGCGACTGGGTAGTGATTATAAACTGATTGCAAACCATTATAAATGGCACTGTGAGCCTGTTGAATGAAAGCCTAACATAATGTAATGAGGTGTGCGTTGGAAGAATATTAAGACATCTATTTAGTTTACATCACTAGATTATCCCAGATCTATCAGGATTTTCCATCATTCTCAGTCAGTCACCTGGAATAAAGACCACTCTCCACTTATTTGTAAGCGTCTCATAGATGCACAATGAAAATGCTTAGGAAATTAATCATGGGAAAACAACTACATCTCTGGAACCGAGACACCCAAAATATATTTATATCAATAAAATTATTGTGGAACCTAGCTCCATCTGTACATTCTGCAATTGAATTAAAACCCATTATATCATCTTGAATCTTACAATTAAGAACTTAAAAAGAACATATGACTTAAATTAGTGACTCTCAAAGTTGCCTCAAGATATTCATGGATCATAGATCATAGAATCCCTGCAGTGTGGAAACAGGCCTTTCGGCCCAGCAAGTCCACACCGACCCCCAGAGCATCCCACCCAGACCCATCTCCCTAATCTACACATCCCAGGACACTATGGGCAATTTGGTATGGCCTGCACATCTTTGGACTGTGGGAGGACACTGGAGCACCCGAAGGAAACCCACGCAGACACGGGGAGAATGTGCAAACTCCACACAGACAGTTACCCATCCACCCACTTTGCTACCTTTTATTTGCCATGCGTCATTGCGGCTCTCATAAAATGCAGCTGATGCACTCACCTCAGGAACTTGTTCAAGTCTCCATTCTTCATGTATTCAAAAACCATGATGAGAGGATCGCCATCAACACAGACACCGTAGAATTTCACAATGTGTTCATGCCGAAGATTGGTGAGGAGCTCGGCTTCTCGTTGGAAGTCTTTTCGTGCTGAGACAGTGGCATCTTTCAGAGTCTGCAGAGAGTGAGGAGGGTCACAGTTACACTGGCATGATCATCCTTCAGCAGGGAAACTTTGTAAAACCATTGTAACCAGTGTGCAGACCTCAGCGGGAATACCATGTCCAATCTGAGCTGCACACTTTCGAAAGGATGTCGAGGCTTCGGAGAGGGTGAAAAAGGGTTTTAATTAGAACTGACATTGAGGAACTTTAGCTATGAAGAGATTGTGGAAGGTGGGATTGTTCTCATTAGAATGCAGAAAGGAAAGGGGAGATTTAATATTGGTGTTGAAACCCAGAGAGTCTGATGGAATAGTCAGGACACAGATTAAAGACAATTGGCAAAATCACTCGAGATGGGATAACTAACTTTTCTTTTGGTGCAATGTGTAATCTTAAGCTGGGGTGTACTACATGGAATGGTGCTCGTGGTAGATTCAATACTGCTGTTCAAAAGTGAACTGGACACTTGTTTGAAAATTGCAGGGCAAGGAGAAAAATCTCCACAGTGGATTTAATTGCATAGCTTCTCCAAGGAGCAAGCAAAAGAAGTATGGACAAAATGGCCACCTTCTTTCTTGTATGGTGCTCTAAACAGGTTTTGGCGAAGTTCTCAAAATGCAATGATTAAACATTAGCCTTACATGGAGGAATTTCAGGACATGTTTGCTGAAAGTGAAACAGTAGGAGGTTATAAATGCCATGAATAAACTTCTCTCAATGCCAATCAGCATAGTTATAGAATCGTAGAGATTTAGAGCATGGAGACAGGCCCTTCAGTCCAACTTGTCCATGCCTCCCAGTTTTCACAATTAAACAGGTCCAATTTGCCTGTGTTTGGTCCATATCCTCCATACCTATCCCATTCACATGCCTATCCAAATATTTCTTTAATGACAAAATTGGACTCGTCTCCACCACTACATCAGGCAACCTGTTCCAGACACTCACTACCCTCCGTGTGAAAAAATTGCCCCTCTCGACCATTTTGTATCTCTCCCCTCTCACCTTAAACCTATGCCCTCTAGTTTTAGAGTCCCCTACCATGGCGAAAAGCTTTTGGCTATCTACCTTATCCATGCCTCTCATGATTTTATAGACCTCTATAAGGATTCCCCCTCGGTCTCTTACTCTCCAGAGGAAAAAACACTCAGCCTATCTAGCCTCTCCTTTTAAGTCAAGCCTTCCAGTTCAGGTAGCACCTCAGTAAATCTTTTCTGCACTCTTTCTAGTTTAATAATATATTTCCTATAGTAGGGCAACTAGAAAGTGCAAGGCAGTACACCAATGTGGCCTTACCAATGCCTTAAACAGCTGCAACAAGACGTCCCAACTCCTAAACTCAATGCTCTGACCAATGAAAGCTTGCACGCCAAAAGCCTAGTCCTTCCAAGTAGTAGTTGCATCTTTCTAAGGGTGACATCAAGGGGCTAGTAGAAGATTCAATCTTATCAGACGAATAGGTAGTGGCTTCAATGTACACTGGCGCTACGTGAGGTGACACAGACCGTGCCAATATGGGGTCCTGCTGGGTGAATCCATCTCAGTTCAGGAGTCTGAATTAGGTTGTTTCACTCAGACGAAACAAGGAGAGGCCAGGACCTACAGCCAAAGTTGTTTGTAGTCCAAGACCGTCAATTTTCCACTGCTGCAGAGGTCTACTTGCTCCAGGCCTTGGTCTCCATTCTGCACTGGAGATTGGACCAGAGCTCAATATCAGATCTTAGCTTAAGTCATCAGGGTAAATAGTTCATATACAGTACTTGGATTGCAAAGTACAATCAGAATTGAAAGCTACTCTGCACAAACAACCATAGGGTTTTTCAGTGAGCAGGAGAATTGTCTTTAGCGCAGATGGTGTACTCACCTTAACTGCCACCAACATCTTGTCCTTGGTTGGGCTCAAATTGTAACATTCGGCCAAGAAAACTTTCCCGAAAGCTCCCTCACCCAGCTCTCGTTTCAGAACAATGTCCCTCCTCTTGATGTGCTGTACATCTGTGAGACCAGAATGACCAAGACAATGAATGCCTGAGATTGAGCCAAACACAGCAGGTTAGATACAGATTCAGATGGTCCCCATTCAGCACCTGTAGGCTGTAAACAGTATGAGGTGAATCCTCTATAACCTGACAAAAGCTGATTATAAAAGAGGTTAAAAGGAGGTGTGGGGGGGTGCTGCTGCCAATTACTAGGGCAATAGTCTTGTCCAGCCCCTGGCAACCCCATGTCAAACCTGTCTGGTTAAGCTAGTTGAGTGTAAATCAACTTCTTAACCCACCAATGGGCAATCAAATAAATAACTCGGGGTTCTGAGGGAAAGTCTTTGTCCCTGAAATGTAACTTTGTTCCACTCTACAAAGATAGACCTGCTAAGTATTTCCAGCATTTTTCGCTTGAGTTTAAGGAAACTGGGGTTCCTCCTCTTGATCACTATACTCTATTAGGAGGGTTTTTTTTCCTGCTCACTGTCTGATCCCTGACAGAAAGTGTGTGGCTATCAAACACAGGGCAGAACTGCACGCTGCTGTGATGGGCTCACTAACAAAGGTTAGGCACTCAGACTGGCAGGCAGATGGCACATGTACAAATTAGCGAAGGGGCAAGACTAAATCTGCAGCCTATCAGGATGTTACAATTGTGAGAAAAGCAAATGGAACAAAACCAGAGGCATTTTTTCTATTCTTGATGAACTCGGACATGGAATTAGCAGTGGGTGTCAGCTCCTGATAGGCAGGTCCCCACTGATCCCATCACAGAAAGTTTAAAGTATTGGGAATTCTAAGTGATGGAAAGCTCGAATTAAGGGCAGATTATACTGGAAATACAAAAGAGCTATCCATGAAGAGAAAAGCTAAGGTAACTAGCTGTAGGGAAGGACCACACTCCAAATACTGTCTTTGTAGAATGAGTTACGGTACAACGTTGCTTTTTAAATCCTCGAACGTGGTTGTGCTAAGTTTAACCAAAGAAGAAATAAATTTACCACATCTTTCCTGTGACCAAATGGAGTGAGTTGATAAGTTTAGTCTCTGGATGAATATCAAGATCTGTCATTTGATTTGATTTATTGTTGTCACTTGTATCTATGTACGGTGAAAAGCTTTGTGTTGTGAGCAGTAAAGGCAGATCATAACAAACAAGGAGATATAGGGTAGTTAGACAGAGTGAGGCATACAAGGCTACAACTACACAGGACATGCACAAAAGCAAGATCAATATTAGATTTGAAGTTAGACAGGTCCATTCAGCAATGTAATAACAGCAATGAAGAGATAACAAGGTGCAGGGCTGGACGAACACAGCAG